GTGGTGAGGGCTGACCTGTCACCCAATTTCAGTGGAGCTGAAACGTGTCAGCAAGCTGTAGGGCCCCAGCAGCTGCTTGCTTACTGTCTGAGACTCCATACACAGGCTCAGCATCCTGTTTAGCCTGTGGGCATCCCTAGGGTTCCCCATAGGCAGTGATCGAAGGGATTACAGGAGCAGTTCTGAGCCATCTTTACTACATCCTCCTCCAAGAATGGGACCCTACACTCAAGAAACCCTTTTCTTTGCCTGGATATCCTCCTAAAAAAATCTTGCATTGAAGGGTTTGTCTCACACTCTACTTTGGGTGTGGAGTGGTGTTGTAGTAATTAAGACACTAAAAATGCGCCGGGCAGTGGTGGTGCATGCCTTTAATCTCAGTACTCGGGAGGCAGAGGCAAGCAGATATCTGTGAGTTCGAGGCCAGCCTGGTCTACAAAGTGAGTTCCAGGAAAGGCGCAAAGCTACACAGAGAAACCCTGTCTCGAAAAACCAAAAAAAAAAAAAAGACACTAAAATGAATCCATCTGGCAGGACTCTGGGTTTTCATCTCCAGCACACACACACACACACACACACACACACACACACACACACACACCCTCCTTACACATTCATCACTTGTTTGTGTTAGGAACTTCCAACTCCTCTCTCTCCTAGTTATCTTGACTATATAATAGATTATTATAAATGTACTCACCTTAGAACACTACAACTTACCTCTTCTATGTAACTCTATGTTGGAGTCATAACTCAGCTTTTATCTATGCCTTCTCCCAAGTTTTAATTGTTTTGTTTTCAGGCAGCATCTCACTACATAGTCCAGGTTGGCCTCAAACTCGTAATTCTGCACCTGCCTCTTAAGTGATAAGATTATAGCCATTCACAAAATCAGGCCCCACCATACTTCGCTTTAAGGGGTAAATGGACGGAGTTTTGAACTTCCAGCTAAATAAATATGGTTTATTGAACACCTCCCCAGTCCCTAGCCACTAGCCTTTTTGTTGTTGTTTTGTTTTGTTTTGTTTTTTTTGTTTTTGTTTGGTTTTTCGAGACAGGGTTTCTCTGTGTAGCTTTGCGCCTTTCCTGGAACTTTGGAGACCAGGCTGGCCTCGAACTCACAGAGATCCACCTGCCTCTGCCTCCCGAGTGCTGGGATTAAAGGCGTGTGCCACCACCGCCAGGCTTTGTTTTGTTTTTTGAGACAGGGTTTCTCTGTAGTTTTGGTGCCTGTCCTGGATCTCGCTCTGTAGACCAGGCTGGCCTCGAACTCACAGAGATCCGCCTGGCTCTGCCTCTCAAGTGTTGGGATTGAAGGTGTGTTCCACCATCGCCGGGCAACACTAGACTTTTCTTTTCTTTCTTTCTTTCTTTCTTTCTTTCTTTTTTTTTTTTTTTCTTGGAGCTGAGGACCGAACCCAGGACCTTGTGCTTGCTAGGCAAGCTCTCTACCACTGAGCTAAATCCCCAACCCAGACACTAGACCCTTTTTTTTTTTTAGATTTATTTATCATAATACAGTGTTCTGTCTGCATGTATGCCTGCAGGCCAGAAGAGGGCACCAGATCTCATTACAGATGGTTGTGAGCCACCATGTGGGTGCTGGGAATTGAACTCAGGACCTCTGGAAGAGCAGCTAGAGCTCTTAATCTCTGAGCCATCTCTCCAGCCCCAAATTAGATTTTGTTTATAATTTATTTTTTATTTTATGTGCATTGGTGTTTTGTCTGGAGTTACAGACAGTTGTGAACTGCCATGTGGGTACTGGGAATTGAACCCCGGGTCCTTTAGAAGAGCAGTCAGTGCTCCTAACCACTAAGCCATCTCTCCAGCCCCGACACTAGACTTTTAAAAGAACTTTTCTTGTCTTTTCTCTTTTATTTGAGGCAGAGGCTGCTTGTATAGCCCAAGCTGGCCTCCAACTTGAGATCCTCCTGAGTTCTGTGTTTACAAACACTTATCCCAGCACCTGACTCTTGTACTTTCTCCTGGCTGGTGAAGGATAAATAGCCACTGTAGAGATTTCACAAAGTACAGAAAAACTTAAACAAGATGAACATAATCCTTACTAATAAAACAAGATGTATTAACAATCTTTGTGTGTTTTCTCGAATTTTCTGTTCTGAAACTGTAAAACAAATACTGTGGATAGACAATATACCTTCTTTGTGGCTTTTTAAAATTTAACATACTAAAGCACTAGTGTGTGTGTGTGTGTGTGTGTGTGTGTGTGTGTGTGTGTGTGCAGAGACCAGAGGTCAATGTCAAGTGTCTTCCTCAATTGAATTCCACCTTATCTTTTGAGACAGAGTCTCTTACTGAACCTGGACCCACCGAATACTTAGGCTGCCTGCTTGTCATGCTCTAGGGATCTGCCTCTCTAAAGAGCATTTTATTATGTCATAAAATTCTCTTCTATGCTATATTAATGGTTGTGTTGAATTTTAGTATAGCTAGCCTTTCGTCCATTTTTTCTGTTTTTGTTTTAAGACAGGGTCTCTCTATGTATCCCTGGCTGTCCTAGAACTCACTATGTAGACTAGGCTGGCCTCAAACTCACAAAGATCAGCCTACCTCTGCCTCCTGAGTGCGAAGATTAAAGGTGTATGCCACTACATCTCACTCTTTCATTCATCTTAACTCTGATGATAAGATGGCTTCAGCCCGGCAGTGGTGGTGCACGCCTTTAATTCCAGCACTCGGGAGGCAGAGCAGGCCACCCTGATCTACAGAATGAGTTCCAGGAGAGCCAAGGCTACATGGAAAAATCCTGTCTCAGGAAAAAAATTTAAAAAGTGTTGATTGATGCAGTGTTTCCCTCTTATAAATAGTGCTATTTCTGATCATTTACTTAGGACAACTTCTTAAAGGTGAAATTGCTTAAAATGGTTGGAGTCAATTTTTGTGTGTGTGTGTGTGTGTGGGAGGGGGGGTGTTTTGAGACAGGGTTTCTCTGTGTAGCTTTGCGCCTTTCCTGGATCTCACTCTGTAGACCAGGCGGGCCTCGAACTCACAGAGATCTGCCTGCCTCTGTCTCCCAAGTGCTGGGTTTAAAGGTGTGTGCCACCACCGCCCGGCTGGAGTCAATTCTTAAAACTGGGGTAAAAACATTTTACCATTTTACTTTTTGCTCCCCTCTGGTGTTGGGGATTGAACTTACAGTCTTACACACCCTGTGGCACGTGCTCTACCACTGAGCTACATCCCCAACCCTCTTCTTACATTTTTAAGACAAAGTCTGAGTAAGTTGCCCTAGGCTGATCTTGAATTCACTCTATAGTAGCTCAGGCTGGCATTTAACTTGTAATTCTCCTGCCTCAGCTTTTCTAGTAGCTGGGATCAGAGGCACAGCATTTCAGTCATTTAAAGTCTATATACAAAAGTATTAACATTGCTATGCACCAAATCTCTAGAATTTTGTCTTGCAAAATGAACTTTATATCCACAGAATAATAACTCTCCTTTCCACTCCCAACCCCAGGCCCTGGCAGCACTCTCCCCCCCACACACCCGTGGCACCCACTCCCCCCCCCACCCCTTCCACCCCTCCAGCCCATGGCAGTCACTCTCTCCTCTAGCCCTTGGCAGGCACTCCGCCCCCCTTCCCCAGCCCCTGGCATTTTGTTGCTTAGAGTTTGACTAGAATTGATACCTTGTATAAAAGGAAGCATACAGTAACGTGTGTGTGAGCACTCATGTGATTATGCCCATTTGTAAGGTTTTGTGATCTAATGCAGAATTGGCCTCCCAAGAGAATGTAACAACTGACACTTAGACTGAAAGTACCTGAGTATCCATGTAGGCTCCCCATTGGATGCTTAATTATGTAGACCTGGGAGGTCTGGAATTTGCTAGGTATACCAGGCTGGCCTCAAATACACAGAGGTCCGTTTGCCTCTGCCTTTGGAGTGCTGGGATTAAGTATGCACCACCTTGCACCGAAATTCTTACCACTTTGACAGAGGAACAAAGAAGCAGGTCTGAATGTGTCTACAGAGGTCGTTGTCCTCTGACTCCTGGTTAAAATACTTGCTTTAGCACTTAGTAGACTTTGGACAAACCACTTAACTTGTCAATCCCTGTTCCTGTATAGAATGTGCATACTAGCTTATTGGTACACGTCTGTATAATGCATCCTTATTGTGAGGACTAAGGACTCAATCATGTATTCTAAGAATAGTGCCTGGAATATAGGAAGACCCAAAGGGAAGCAGCTATTGTTATTTCTCTGCCTCCTCCTCCTCACTCTCTCCTCCTCCACTTTCCCTTCTTTAGTCAATTCTTGCTAATACAACAATGAAAACAATAGCTAGAAATTGTATTTTACACCCCTTTGATTATCCGTGCCTATGCCTCCCCAGTGCTGGGATTAAAGGTGTACACTACCAGGCCTGACTTGTCTTGTATTTAAAATGTTAGGGTTTTTTTTGTTTGTTTGTTTGTTTGTTTTTTTAAAGCACCATGGCAAACAGGATCCTATTTGAGCCTCCTTATAGACCTATAAATCTGGAAGGAAGCAATCAGCCATCCTGACTTTTGGATTTAGAACTTGATGCTCAGAATTCCAGTGCTAACCAGTTCCAATCCCAGGAATCACATTTCGCCCTTCAAAGCTTCACAGTTGTCCCAGAAACTAGAAGCCGGGAAAAGCTTTGGTTACTTGTAAGAACGGCCCTGTCACAGGCCCCGCCCCTCCCGCTCTAGGTCCCGCCCTCCAGCCGCAGACCCCACCCTACCCGCCTCCGACTCCGCCCCTCCCGGCCCGGCCACGCCCAGGCGAGCTCTCTGCGCGCGCGCAGTGGCTCCTGCGGGAGGGACACCTTAGGCCGCGGCCCCGCCTTCCCCGGCGCGGCCCGCCCAGTTCAAGGGCAGCAGGGCTGGGTGCTCCGGTCCCGCCGAAGGGGAAGGCGAGGGTGAACCCCGCGTGGGGGCTGGTCTGCGACGTGGCGGAGGCCCGGAGCCCCAGGCCGGGTAGGGAAGGGCGCGGACCCCCAAGCCGCCATCTTGCTGCGGAGGGGCCGGGAGGGCGGGGCTGGCTGAGGGCGCTGCCGCGAACCGAGTGGCTTACCCCTCGGCCTCAGAGACCCGGCCGTGGCGCACGCCCCCGGGTTGGAGCTGCTTTCTCGGGCCTTCTCATCTGCTGCTCACCCGGTGTTGGTAGGGAAAGGCCCAGGAAATGACTGCTGTCCCATTGTGCAGGAAACTGAGACTCAGAAGTAAGGAGGAGACTGGACTAGGAACGCACAGCGAGGTGCTGGCAGTGGGACTCCAGGGCACCCTGCCTCACTGCCAAGCTAGGGAGTTGGGAGAAAGACTAGCAAGCCGTTCTCTTTTTGTACCATCAGGTCAGAGCTGACCAAGAAGCATTCAGAAGCCAAGCCATGGATCCACCTGGCCGGAAAGAAAAATCCAAAGTTAAAGAACCTGCCTTCAGAGTGGAGAAGGCTAAGCAGAAATCTGCGCAGCAGGAGCTGAAGCAAAGACAAAGAGCAGAGGTGGGTCTCAGGAGGGGGCTCTGTGTGCCCGAGTCCGTTGGAGAAGGTGCTGGAAGAACACACAGCAGAGAAAACTTTACGGGGGGTCCCTGCTTGTCTCTGGGCAGGACATTTCGGGGAAGAGAGGCCATCAAGGTCCAGAATGGTGGCGTGGAAGCCAAGAGTCACACGCCAAGTAAGTGTCAGAATCCCGACCTGTCCCAGGTCTCTAGATGACACCTGGTCCAGAGCTTTTGTTCTAGGGATCTGAGGGATGCCTGAAAAGAGAAAAAGCAGCCGTGGATGAGGGAGGGACCAGAGCGGGGAGGAGACTGAATAAATAAATGAATGAGAATTCACCAAGTGCCAGTGTGCCCTGTGACCCAGTTACACGTGTGCATCTGGTGCAGAAAGTAGCTAGTTGATGGGTGAGATGGTCCAGGTGCCTGCTGCGGTAGCCTGACTGCCTGAGCCTGTTCCTCAGAATCCATAGATAGGTGGAAGAAGAGAAAGACTACACAGAGCTGTCCTCTGGCCTCCACACTTGTGGCATGCACATCCACACAGACACACACACCAACAACAGTTTTTAAGTGTCTGCTCACAGCCAGGTAAAGGCCCAAGCTTTGAGCCCACCGGTGTGTTCCTTTGTTCTCTCCACACTCAATTATTTTAAGAATAAAAAGCTTTAAAATATTTACATGGCTAATGAACCACATCCAGACATGAGTATTGTCATATTTAGTATCAGGAATAAGCTTGCTGGTCTTTTCTGCACCTTTGTTGTGTGTGTTTTTGAGAAATTTTAAAGTACAGCTTTCTCAGATTGTTAGTGGTTGGTGGTATTGAAATTTCCCATAATTTTCTTAAGATAATAAAGTCACATAAATTTGATGTCCCCTTTGACTATTTCTTGTCTTACACCTTTTCTCCCTCTCCATGAGTAAGCTTTTTTTTTTTTTTAAAGAGAGGGTTTCTCTGTGTAGCCTTGGCTGTCCTGGAACTCACTCTGTCTACCAGGCTGCCCTTGAACTCAGAGATCCATCCTGCCTCCTGAGTGCTGGGATTAAAGGTGTGAGCCACCACCACCAGGAGCCCTTTTTTTTTAAAGATGCATTTTCATTCAGATAGATGAATTTATTATCTGTGCATTTGCATTTTGTTTGCATGACATTTTAGAGATATTTATGTTACTATTAAGAATCTGTTTTCTTTGTTCTTTATAGTGTCTACTTTATAAACCTTTTTAAAAAGATTTATTTTTAATTATGTGTGTTGTGGGTATGTGAACATGAGTTCAGGTGCCCATGGAGGCCTTAAGAGTGCATCAGATACCCTGGAGCTGGAGTTACAGGTAGTTATGAGCCACCTGACATAGGTGCTGGGAATCAAACCCGGGTCCTCTGGAAGTGCAGCAAGGGCTCTTAACCACGGAGCCCTTCTCCAGCCCCTGAACGACCTTATTCAGCGTACTCACCCATTCTTCCTGGAGTGGGTGTTGTAATAATTTACAGTTTTGCTTTTTGCAAACATTTGTGGAGAAAAAAACCTTTTAAGTGCTTCCTTGGCATCTGTGCCAGAATTCCTGTCAGGTATTTGACTAGAGAAATTGCCAGGTGCCATTTCATTTTCCCTAGATGTTGCCAAATAGCTTTCGGAGGGATTCCTCAAGCTTGCACCCGTTGATAGCGTGAGACACTTCCTGCTCCATTTGGTCTGGCAGTTGATATTGTCAAACTTTGTTTACTGCATCCATTTATTAAACATTATCCAGCTGATGCACCAGTGTATGGGCTTGAGTGAGACACATAGTCAAGACAGAGAACAGTTCCTGCCTTCGTAAAGTGCACATTCCAGTAATCATGATAAACTTGGGAGCACCCCAGAGTCTCCCTGTGGGCTAAGGCAGACCGTTTGAAAGCTGTGGTCCTCCATTCTACAAATAAATGTGTCCTTTCTTTACCCCGATCCAAGATGGTCTTAATTGCTTTGTGTTTTAGCGGACAGAAACAGGCCTGCAAACAGCTCTGCGCACATTGAAAGACAGATATGGAGGGCATTGTTCCTTCCTGTCCTTCCTGGCATCTACTTGTCTGGCTTCCACTCTTCCATTCTTCCCATGTGATCTTGGAAAAGATACTTTTGAACATCACTTCCTTGATGCCTCTTTGGTAAAATGAGGGTGGTGGTATCTACCTCACAGTATTATAAGGAATAGAAATTACATGTGGAAAGCACCTAGCACAGTGCCTGGCACACGGAAGGTGTTTGATAACCAGCAGTGATCACGATCTGGAGTCACCATTCTTCCAAGCAGCCGATGTGCTCTTACCATGTGGACTTAGAGGGACCAGCTGGTTGTGTCCACATTCGCTTGCTGAGGTGTCAGATTGGATGTGCACGCTAGCAGCAGCTGGCACCTGTTACTGCTACTATATCTGCCTGAGCCAGGCCTGCACATGTATGAGCAAACACTGAGTCAGGTGTTACTATTTCCCACTTACCCTTTGTGAGTCCTGGAATAAGAAGTGTGCCCGGAGTCCAGCCATCAGTAAGGGCAGGCCTGTGGTCAGAACAGTGCTTCCCACTTCTTTGCCTCTTGGTTTTGTTTGTGGTGTTGGGACTTGAACCCAGGGTCTGTATGTGTCTGCTCTACCACTGAGATATAACCCCAGTCCCAGTCCGCCATTTGCTTCCCCAACAGCTGCCTTGCTATTTTGTCTGTGTTCCCTGGAAGGGAATGGAATCTTTCATAGGAATGTGTCAGCACCTCCTCAGGAGGAAAGGATATAGATGCCATATTCCAGAAAGGCATGGAGGAGAGCTGAGAGGCATGCGTGAGGACGGAGGCTTATTCGGCAGCTGAAGCAGCACATCACACTGCTATGATCCTTTCCCTCTAGACCCAAAGTCTCACTCTTGGCTCAGACACCCTGGACATTTTTTTTGTTGTTGTTTTGTTTTTGTTTTTCGAGACAGGGTTTGTCTGTGTAGCTTTGCACCTTTCCTGGAACTCACTCTGTAGACCAGGCTGGCCTCGAACTCACAAATATCCGCCTGCCTCTGCCTCCCAAGTGCTGGGATTAAAGGCATGCCCCACCACTGCCCAGCCACCCTGGACATTTTAAATCTCTCTGTGCCCTGCTTACTTCCCCCTTTCTCCTACCATTCTGCCTCTTTGACTGGGAGGTCTCCAGAATGCTATTTAATATCCCTGTCAGTCCCAGAACAGAAAGTAATATACAGATCACAAAGGCTGGCAGGTATCAAACTTACAAAACAGAGACTTTCCCACTTTAAAATATAAAGTACATGCGTGATCATATGTGGTTTAAAGAAGACCAAACACCCTCATATCCACCACTCAGCTTAAGAAACTGAACTTGAAGCCAAGCCCAGTGGCACACACTGGTAGTCCCAGCATTTGGGAGAGTGAGGTGGATCAATAAGTACATGAGTTCAAGACCACCCTGAGTGACATAGTGAGGCCTTGTCTCAAGAAGAAAAAAAGGAAAGGGGGAGAAGGGATAGACCAGTAACTTGGAAGCTCCAGTGCCCACTTCCGGTCATATGCCTGTTCATATAAGCCGCTTTGTTTAATTTTATGCTAATCATTCCTTTGTTGTTCTAGAACTCACTACCTCTATTTTAGGAGTAATATGTACTCCTAAAATAGTATTTCCATAACAATAAGTCTCTTCACATATTTCTGAATTTTTAGTCATGTGCCACTGTGTCTGGCTTCAAGTTTTTTAGTTTGAGACAGTATCTGTCTACATAGCCCTGACTGGCCTGAAACTCTTTATGTAGACCAGACTGGCCTTGAACTCACAGAGATCTGCCTGCCTCTGCCTCCAGAGTGCTGTAATTAAAAACATGAGTCACCACACCCAGCCCTTTTTTCTTTTTTTTTTTTAAGATTTATTTTTTTAACCATTTATGTATATTTGTGTGTGTGTGTGTGTGTGTGTGTGTGTGTGTGTGTGTGTATCCCTGGAGTATGGGAATTGGGACGTGAACTCCAGTCCCATGGTTAAAGCAGCAATGCTCTAACTACTGAGCCATCCCAAGTTCTATCCCTCTTTTGCCTCTCAGATTTTGTTTTGGTGAGACATGGTCTCTATTATATAGCACTAGCTGTTATGGAACTTGCTATGTGGACCAGACTGGCCTCAAACTCACAGAGTACCACCTACCTCTGCCTCCCAGGTGCCTCTCAGATACCTTTATTTCTATGAGTATTTTGCCTGCAAGTATATCTGTGGACCATGTAAGTGTGTGGTGCCCACGGAGGTCAGATGAGGGCTTAGGATCCCCTGGAACTGAAGTTTGTAGTTGGAGTTTTCTGCAGTCCCACCCGGGCCCACAGCCGCTCAGACCCAAGTAAAAACACAGAGGCTTATGTTACTTAAAACTGTATGGCCATGGCAGGCTTCTTGCTATCTAGTTCTTATATCTTTTTTTAAAATTTATTTACTATGTATACAGTGTTCTGCCTGCATGTATGCCTGCAGGTCAGAAGAGGGCACCAGATCTCATTATAGATGGTTGTGAGGCACCATGTGGTTGCTGGGAATTGAACTCAGGACCTCTGGAAGAGCAGCTATTGCCCTTAACCACTGAGCCATCTCTCCAGCCCCTAGTTCTTATATCTTAAATTAACCCATTTTTATAAATGTATACCTTGCCACGTGGCTTGTGGCTTACCAGTATCTTTACATCTTGCCTCTCATGGCAGCGGCTGCTGGCAGCATCCCCTGACTCAGCCTTCCACTTGCCAGAATTCTCTCTCTTTGTCCTGCCTATACTATACTTCCTGCCTGGCTACTGGCCAATCAGCATTTTATTTATCAATCAATCAGAGCAACACGTTGACAGCATACCGAAAGACATCCCCAGCAGAAGTTAGACAGTTGTGAGCTGCCATGTGGGTGCTGGGGACCAAACCCAGACCCTCTGCCAGAGCAACAACTGCTCTTAACCATTGAGCCATCTCTCTGGCCCCAAGTTCTGTTTCTTAAATTGGTGGTGGACACTCTATTCTTTGACTGGCTCTCTCCTGGACATTTTTTTCCTTACTACATTTATGTATGTGTCATGAAGCATATGTAGAGGTCAGAGGACAACTTCTACCATCAAGCTTGGAATGTTTTCAAGATTTCCTCTAGTACATGACCTGCACTAGGCCACGTACCCACTGCTGCCTCCTCCCTAGACTTCTACAAATGCCTCCTAAGTAGGTGATAATTCCTACTTCCACCCCCGGGCCCCTCCCCCCGCCCCCCAGTTGGCCTCCGGTCACCTTTCCTGAATACTCCTGTCTGCTCTCTAGAGCCTGCAGGTAAAGGACCAGACTCCTTGGCCTGGCATTTAAAGCCCTGACTTTCTTTCTCCAGCTCCCCAGCTCCCCCGCATACACTTGAAGTTTCCAGAACTGACCCTGTGCTGTTCCCTCAGACCTGTCAGGTCCCATCCGCAAAGGACCAAGCCCCTTGCCTCACTGCTGCTCTGTTCATCCCCCAGCGGAAGCTGCCATCCTGTCCTGGTCCCTGCCTCCCAGCTCCTCCTGGTGAAATTCCAGCATTTTCAGCTTCCTCCCTGCTTCCATTGCTAATGTATCTGTTCTCCATTCAGATCTACGCTCTCAACAGAGTCATGACAGAGCTGGAGCAGCAGCAGTTTGATGAGTTCTGTAAGCAAATGCAGCCACCTGGGGAGTGAGCCAGCCCCATCCTAGTCAGAGCACCTGGAGCCTTGCAGAACTGAACAAGACTTGTGGAGACCTCTGCACTCAACTTCCTGTAGGTAACTTCCACCACATTGGTTCCTCCTCTCAGAACTGGCCCAGTGCTTGCTGGGTAGACTTTTCATCTGGGACAGCAGATTTTTTAAAAGGCCTTTTTTCTACTGTGTGAGAAAAATCATTGTTTCTAGTGAAACTGTGTGTCTTCCCTAAAAAGAATAAAATACAAAATGTTCATTTGTTCTTACTTTAGGGTGGGAATGCCTGCTCAAGGAAAGTGGGATAAAGAATGGAGTAGGTGAGGGCTAGAGGGATGGCTCAGCAGTGAGATCACTGACTGCCCTGGTGGAGGACCGGGTTCTGTTCCCAACACCCACATCCAACACTTCACACACCTGTAACTCCGGCTCCAGGGCATCCAACATCTTTTTCTGGACTCTGTGAGTACCTCACTCCCACATATGCCCACAAAGATATACATAGTTAAAAATAAAATAGGTCTTAAACAAACAAACAAACAAACTGGGCATACTAGCACATACCTTTAATCCCAGCACACAGGAGGCAGAGACAAGATACCTGTGAGTTTGAGGTCAACCTGTTCTACAGAGCAAGTCCCAGTCTAGCCAAAGCTACATAGTGAGACCCTGTCTCTCACACACACATACACACACACACACACACACACACACACACACACAGAATGGGATCCAGTGTCCATGGGAACAGAGGAAGTGCTTTGCCTTGGGAATAAGAACAGCTCATTATTTTTCTCAAGGGGAAACAATGCAGGAGTTGGTGGACTTGGTAAGTGTGGAAGTTCTTTGCAGAGCAAGAAGCAGGGTGAGGAGAGTGAAAGGGGAGGTGATGGAGGCTTGAGGAGAGAGGGTGTGAAACAGTAGTCTAGTTCCACAGAGTGAAAACAGACCTGCAGGGACACGGGACGACAGCCGGGCAGCAGTACGGCTTCACTAGGGATGAGCAGACCTAGACTCCAAGCCGCGCTGGCCACGCTGTGTTCTCAGCGCTGCTGGAGTGAGGCGCAGGAGACGGGGAGTTGCGACGAGGTGAACCAGGGCTTTGCTCAGAGCTAACGTGGAAGCAAAGAAAGGCAGGGAGGAGCGCATTCCCAGTGCGTGGATTATGACCACGGGCCTGGCTCTACACTGTGCGAAAACGTAAATGAGCCAGACGTGGTTCACACACCTGTAATCCCAGCACTGGGGAGGCTGAGGCAGGAGGATCAGGAGTTTGAGGCCAGCCTGGGCTACATAGTGAGACTCTAACTCCAAGTGAATGAGAACTGGAGAGGATAAGGGACTTTGGAAGGGTCTGAGGTTCACAAGTTAGAGTTTCTACTATGGTTGAAACTGAGCCTCTAGAAGTATCCTGGAGGGATGATTAGAGAACAGAATACCAGAAACAGACCCGAGAGCGGCTACTCTGACTGGTAATGACAGAGCCCAGGGGATTACTCCAGAAGGCTGGAGTAGGACAGAGGACTAGATCTTTGGGGTTTGCTGGAGGACTGGGAAGGCAGAGTATGGGACAGTCATCTTGAGAAGTGCCCGTGTCAGGATTTGTTGAGTGACCTTGGGCAAGTCATTTGGCTGCTTGGTACCTCAGTCTTCATCTCTTTTTTTTTTTTTTTTTTTTTTTTTTTTGGTTTTTCGAGACAGGGTTTCTCTGTGTAGCTTTGCGCCTTTCCTGGAACTCACTTGGTAGTCCAGGCTGGCCTCGAACTCACAGAGATCCGCCTGGCTCTGCCTCCCGAGTGCTGGGATTAAAGGCGTGCGCCACCACCGCCCGGCCAGTCTTCATCTCTTAAGAAGGAACGTTAGTATTTCTGCTTCACTTGAATTCTGTAAGATGGAAAGCGCCACATCTGGAGTACACCTGTGCTCAGGAAACAGCACAGCTGGGAGTTAACTCAGACCCGGAGTCCCTAGTAAACCTTAAAAGGTGCTCTTACTCTTTAATTGGTGAAAAATTAAAAACTGTGGTGGCAACGAGTTTATCTACACCCTGGGAGCCGCTTCCCACTGTTCTTACTGTTTCTGTGAGACTCTGATCAGGGAGGACTGTAGACCACCCACCCACCCTTCCTTCCTCCCTCCCTCCTTCCTTCCTCCTTCCCTTCCTCCCTCCCTCCTTCCTTCCTCCTCCTTCTTTCCTTCTTTCCTCCCTCTCTTCCTCCCTTCCCTCCCTCCTTCTTCCTCTTCCTTCCTCCTTTCCTTCCTCCCTCCCTCCCTCCCTCCTTCCTCCTTCCTCCCTTCCTCCTTCCTTCCTCCCTTCCTCTTTCCTCCTTCCTTTTCTCCCTCCCTCCCTCCTTCCTTCCTCCCTCCCTCCTTCCTTCCTTCCTTCCTTCCTTCCTTTCTTCCTTCCTCCCTTCTTCCCTCTCTTCCTTCCTTCCCCTTCAAAAAAAGCAGAAAGCATATTCCCTCCTACATGAGCAGGTAGTAGAGAAAAAAAAACACGAGGCGGGCGTGGTGGCACACGCCTTTAATCCCAGCACTCTGGAGGCAGAAGCAGGAAGATCTCTGAGTTCAAAGCCAACCTGGTCTACAGAGTGAGTTCCAGGACAGCCAGGACTACACAGAGAAACCCTGTCTTGAAAAACAAGACCACATGCTACTTCCAGTGCTGTTCTAGACCCTGCTGGTCACAGGTGTCCAGTCACACACGTAAGTACACGTGACCTTTAGTCCCGTTTCAGCCACTAGCCATCCTGTGACTGCAGCTAACAGCAGCTCTGGGAGGGCAGGCCAGATACTTTTCGGTTTTCATCTTGGGGCTACTTCCCCAGGCCTAGAGTCAGGTTGCAAGGGGAAAGTTCAGACTGGAACCTTAGGAACCAAACACCTGTCACCTAGCTGCCTCTTCTCGGGTAGAGGTTAAAGTTGTCTCTGACATGTGCTTCAGGAATGTAATTGACACCAACATGTTCACAGCAGGGTTACTGCAATGCTGAGCAAGTGATGGGATTAAGGGCATTTGTCACAATGCCTAGCTAAAAACTAAAATATTTTTTTAAATTGAAGGAGTTGTTAAATTACTCCATTTATCTGTCCTTCAAAATATGGATCCAATTAAATCAGTGGTTTTAACCTGTGGGTCATGATCCCCTTGCAGGTCAAACAACCCTAAGACATTAGAAAACACAGATACTTACGTTACGATTCATAACAGTAGCAAAATTAGTTATGGAGTAGCAATGAAAATAATTTTATGGTTGCGTCACCACAACATGAGGGACTGTATTAAAGGGCCACAGCATTAGGAAGTTTGAGAACCACTGAGTTAAATGATGAATTTAAAAGTCCAGGAAAAGAATGGGTTAAAAAAAATCTCATCTTACTTATGAAGCCTGACAACCCAGAGAATGTAAATGGTGTTTATGACAATAAAATTTGAACATTTCAGTCTAAAAGAAGAAAAACTAAAGAGAAAATTACATGTTGGTTTATATCCTGCTGATCCCATTGGAAAACGCTTGAGCATTAGGAAGGAATTAAGCGCACAATTGTAGACCTGAGTGTAGCTGGCTTTCTTGGACCACCAGCCCAAAATCCTGACACAGGGACTTACTATCAACCACAAATGCTCAGCCCTAGCGTAGGCTTGTTTCCAGCTAGCCCTTTTTAAATTCAAATCAACCCATTTCTATTAACCCATGTGCAGCCCCGAGGCTCATTTACCTCATCTACATACTGTCCATCCTGCTTTCCTGCTTTCTCTGCACCTGGCTGGCTGGCAGCTGGCTGGCTGGCTTCCCTTTTCTCTCTGCCCGCCAGCCCCGCCTATCCTGTTCTGCCCAGTCACCAGCCATCTAGCCCTCCACTAGACCAATCAGGTGCTCCAGGCAGGCAAGGTAAAACAGTAACACATCCCCACACAGTTAAGCAACTGCAGCATAAACAAATGCAACACATCCTTACATAGTTACATATTCTATTTCATGACATCCGAGTTTTCCAAAATTCCAGTTTTCATATGAAAGCCCACATTTTAAACCATGTATTCCGAGTATTTGTTTGCATGTATGTATGTGCCCACAGAGGCCAGAAGAGGGCATGGGATTCCTGAAACTGGGGTCACAGCTAATTGTGCACTAACATGTTGATGCTGGAAACAAAATCTAAGTCCTCTGCAAAAGCAGGCAGTGTTCGTAACTGCGGAGCTGTCTCTCCCGCCTCCCAAAACACACCCCTCTCCCCACAGAACTTTTTCTTGAAATGACAGGCACACTCAGTTCACACTTCAGGAAAACCCAGTTGGACCTGCCCTAGCTTGTATGTTTGACCTCCCAGGGGAAAGTAAATCTTCAGGTTAGAAATGGGGAAATGGACTTTGAGATTAAACATTTCACTCAGGGCCAGACCTACAAAAGCAATAGGGTTCTGTCACAGGCTTCCACTCAGACATGGAGCATTGCTTTGAGAAAGCAATCTCCACCCCCACCCCCCGGGTTTAGACCAGAAACCCGCCTAGACTCCCTCCCTGACTTCATCCGAGTGCTGAATGAGCTCTCACATCATCCTTTACCTTTGTGCTTACGTGGAAGCCCAGGAAGCATGTCAGAAAAACTGCTTTCTAGGAAATAAAGGTGCTGAGGTGAGCTGGCAGATGAGCCCAGCCTGCTGAGAGACAGCCAGACTCTGCAAGGAACTCTCAGGTGCCCTGGCACTGCCCCATGTCACTAGCCAAGGGGCAGAAGCAAACCAATAGAGTGAGAGTTACTACTGCTACAGTTGCTGAGTAGTTCAGTTGTCAAAGCCGCCTTCTTAACTCTGCTCCTGCCACTTAAAACGGACACGATTCTAGAGGCGTGCTTGTTTGAGGGTTTGTTTGTTTGTTTTGAACATAGAAACAGCCAGAAATCATTTGGTTAAAACTCGGAAGTAGTGTGAGGGCACCATTGACTAATCTCAAATATCAGGTTTTTGAACAGAATTGAATTGGTTGAGAATAACGCAAGCATTGTTTCCTCACACCTACTCTATGGAGGCGCCATGCTAGCTGTTGGTCCCTAAGAGCTCATGTGACAGTAGTTGTGAGTGTTTGGGTGAGTGTAGACTCACACTGACATGAGTGTTCAGCATGGAAGACCCCAAGTGGATGTACTGTTTCTATAATAACCTTCTTTATAACATCTCAGAATCCACAGGGAAATCTGCAAAGTAAACATTTTTTTTTTTTTTTTTTTTTTTTTTTTTAGTGCTGGGCACCTTGGCAGGTAGTAGAAATAAGCATAAATGAAAGGCAATAATGTTCTAGCAGAACATAACAGCTCCGTCTAACAGTGACCGCAGAAGAGATGAAATGAGCACTGGGGAAGAGAGCCTGGGAGAGAGGGTGCTCCCAGCCTCTAACCTAGAGCTGTAATGATGTTGGCATTTTCCTTTGTTCCTTAATTTGCAAGTTGTTTTTTTTTAAATCTAGTTTTAGATTTGAGGCAAATTGACCACATATATGCTACTCTTAAGACGCCAATGGCAGACACGTTGTAGAGGAGCTCAGGCGCCACCGTGTGGGAAGAGGCAGAATTAGCCAGCAGTCCTTTGGATGTTCCAGCTGAAGACAGAATCCAGAGTGAAGCTGGGCTCCCTGGTTATTCTCCTTAAGGTGCAGCTTTAGATACGATATAAGAGCATACAGTATTTCCATCTGATTTGTAGTTTCACAAGACAAAGTGACATCTGAGTAGAGTTTAGTGTTTGAGAACTTAGAAAAGATACACACAGAATGGGATCCCTGGAAGCCAGATGTGATGGCTAGTCTTGGTTGTCAGATACATCTGGAACTAACTAAACCCAAGCAGGTACACCTGTGAGGGATTTTTCTTTTTCTTTTTTTTCCTTCTTCTTTTTCAGACAGGTTCTCTCTTTGTAGTACTGGCTATCCTGGAATTCTCTATGTAGACCAGGCTGGCCTCGAACTCACAGAGATCCACCTGGCTCTGCCTCCCGAGTGCTGGGACTAAAGGTGGGAGGCAGAGCCAGGCAGATCTCTGTGAGTTCGAAGTCTGCCTGGTTCGAGGCAGAGCGAGATCCAGGACAGGTACCAAAATTACACAGAGAAACCCTGTCTTGAAAAACCAAAAAAAAAAAAAAAAAAAAAAAAAGCATGTGCCACCATGCCTGGTGGAATTTTCTTAATTTAAAGATAGAAGACCCACCTTTAATCAGGATTTTTTGAGGTGGGAAGCTCCACCTTTAATTTGGGCCACACCTGGTGGCAGCCTATAGAAGTAAAGCACATGGGAGAAGGAAGCTTCTGTTCTTTGCCTGCTTGCCCTCGCTAGCAAGTCCATTCCTTCACTGGCATTAGAGCCTACTTCTTTAGGATTATGTCATATACTGAAGACCAGCTGAGACGTCCAGCTTCATAGACTGAACAACTACTGGATTCTTGGTATTTCTGTTGGTAGACAGCCATTGTTGGACTAACTGGATCACAGTCTATAAGCCACTCTAATAAATCCCCTTTACACATAGATAGATAGATAGATAGATAGATAGATAGATAGATAGATAGATAAACAAACCGACAGAGACAGATTCATTCTATCTGTTCTGTTCCTATAGAGAACCCTGACTAATACACCAGGTGATGCATTTGGGCTGCTAGTCAATTTTTTGAGATAACATCTCATGTATCCAAGGCTGGCCTGGAACTCCTAATCCTGAGCTGAAACTCAAACTCAGCCCAAACTTAGCTTGGAAACAAAAGTTTATCCTACATAACTGATTCAAGTATTACCCAGAATGGGTGGTGGTGGTGCACACCTTTAATCCCAGCACTCAAGAGGCAGAGACAGGCAGATCTCTGAGTTCAAGGCCAGCCTACAGAGTGAGTTCCAGGACAGCCTGGGCAACACAGAGAAACCTGTCTCAAAAAAACAAAAAGCAAACAAAAAAACCTGTTTCAAGTATTTCCCAAAAGGTAGTCTGCACCCTGAATAAGGAGAAAAAAGCAAAGGCTTCTGGGCGCACTGTGGGTCGCTGTGATTCAAGACAAGAGATAGCATATGAGAACACAGGTGCCAGGAAAGCTTTAGTGAGGATGAGGCAGGTCTTGATCCAGCATGCTAAGTGCAGAGCCCACAGAGCCAGCAGGAGTGGTGAAGCTGTGGTTTCCTCCTTGCTAGAGCTTAATACAAATTCCCCTGCCCCACAGTGCATCTGGGAAGAAGATGTAGGAGAGCGACCAGATGAGGCAGTAAAAGGCGGTGAGTGAGAATGGGGAGAGGAACAGCATGATAACACCTGTGAAGAGAGAAGCAGACGCTCAGTTTCATGAAGTGCCTCACATGGCTCCTACCCCACCCTCTGTCCCTCACAGGTCACTCACAGAGCTGAGGAAACAGCACCAAGAGAGGCAGAAGCCCCATGTTTAAGGTCAGTTTAGTAAGTATATGTAAGCCCTTAATTGGAAGCTAATGCAACCTCAGGGTCCATTCTGTTGATCTCAGACCAGAAGCCAAGTCCTGGCCAAGACTGAATCAAGTTGACCAGAACCTTTTCTTGGGGGAAAAAATCTTCCTGATTGTTTGGAGTTTAACATGCAATGTTACATGCCTGAGACTGCTTACAGAATGACCTCAGCTCTCACACCAAGATCTCTGAGTAAGCAGAGTGGCTCGCTTAGCCTAGACTGTGCAAGTCCATGGTCTGTGCGGAGCAGCCACTGTCTTTCTGGAGTCTGGAATTCGGTACCTGCTAGGCAGAGGGTCCCTAAGTGAGTCTCTGATGACCTTCCCTAGAAGACAGTGCTTCATGTGAATGACTGCAGTTCAGGGCTTGGGGAATTGAATGTGACTCTGATGCCACCTGGAGAGGACTCTGGGAATCCGCATCTCATTTCGTGGTCACTTCCCATGCACCTTTGCCCTCTGCTGATCCTGAGCCACATCCTTGTTTCTTCTTTTTATTTGTTTGTTTCAGTTTGTCAAGACAGGTTTCTCTGTTCTAGCCCTGGCTGTCCTTGAACCAGCTCTGTAGACCAGGCTGGCCTAGAACTCGAGCTCCAGCTGCCTCTGCCTCCCGAGTGCTAGGATTAAAGTCATGTGTCACCAGCCCACATCCTTGTGTTCTAACCGGTTTTAGCTGTGAGTACATGCTGAGTCCTGAGGCCGCTGCTAACAAATTGCTGAGCCTCGATCTAGTCAGGAACTCCCAAGACCATCTGAATTGCAGATGAAACACTATCAGGCATAAGGACTCCAAAATTAGTGGCACATCTACTCAGTACTAGCTACTCTGCTAGGTACTACCGATTGCTTCACTTCATAATACTCCTATGACTTAGAATTGTATCTATCTTCCTCATAAATGATAGAGGGGAAGTAACCTACACAGAGGCCTGACATTTAAAAACTAGACAGTCTTCCTCAGTTAATAAGAATATGGGGCAACAATAGTCTCATGACAGGCTCTCACGTAACACAGGCTGACCTCAAACTTGCTATGTAGCTGAGGATGACTGTGAACTTCTGACCCACCTCCAGAGTGCTGAGCTTACAGGTGTGCACCACCACAGCCAGTGTGTGCAGTACTATAGATCAAACCCCAGGGATCTGTGCAGGCTAAGCAAGTACTCTTCCAACCGGGCTACAACCCCAACCTGACCACCATGTATTTGGTGAAATCCTGCTAGATCGTGACAGGTGACCTAACAAAAGGTCATTTCTGGGGACAAGAATCAGTTAAGATGTGCTAGAGTTTTGAATACTGCAATTAGAGAGCAGTCATTTATCTGCTGAGGCAAGGAGGCGATGTTTAAAGCCAAAACTGTCCTAAAAAATAGATGGCATTATCTCTCCAAAACTAGCCATGGCCAGCTTCTTGAAGTCTGGAGCTCTGTAGGAAGAAGGGTCTTCAATCTGAGGTAACCAGTTGTCCCCCAGGCAAGCGGAAGATCAACAGCATCCACTTTGAAATGTGTACAATACTGACATTAACTGGTGTCAGAATCTGTGAGGTGCCATTTCCTCCTTAATTCACACAGCAATGCAGCCCAGGAGTCTCATGCTAAGTGTATGGTTTATTTGAGCAAAGGGGAACACTCCAGGAACAGTGACCTCTGAGGGAAACACTTGCTAGGAGCTAGGAGAGGGGAGGTAGAAAAGATGGAGCAGGGGCTGGAGAGATGGCTCAATGGTTAAGGGCACTGACTGCTCCTCTAGAGGTCCTGAGTTCAATTCCCAGCAACCACATGGTGGCTCACAACCACCTGTAATGAGATCTGGTGCCCTCTTCTGGCCTGCAGGGACACATGCAGGCAGAATACTCTATACATAATAAATAAATAAATCTTAATAAAATAAAATAAAAAATAATATAAAAAGAAAAGATGGAGCAGCAATTGCCATTTATAGCCCAGGAGCCACCAGAGAACTACCTCGTTGCCTCATTCAATCTCAGTGAGGCTATAAGCTAGCAACTTGGAGCTTTATTTATAGGTGAAGAAAACTGAGTTCAAAATGGTGAGGTGTTAGCCCAAGTTTATACAACTATGTGCAGAAGTCAGAGCTTCAACTGAGGTATGTTTAGCTACAAACCCAGACTCTCCTCGCCATTCTGCCTCTGCCTAGGCACAGGAGAGCCAGCACACCAGAACTTGGTTAAGCATACTGTACTAATGCCACATAAGGTATACACCTGAAGGAAACATACCCTACAACCACCCAGAGTGGATTCACAGCAAAGGAATAATGGGAGAAACTCCAGCCCCCAGGGATGCTTGTCTTGTTCACTGCATACATTATAAAAGAAAAACCAGCCGGGCGGTGGTGGCGCACGCCTTTAATCCCAGCACTCGGGAGGCAGAGCCAGGCGGATCTCTGTGAGTTCGAGGCCAGCCTGGGCTACCAAGTGAGTTCCAGGAAAGGCGCAAAGCTACACAGAGAAACCCTGTCTCGAAAAACCAAAAAAAAAAAAAAAAAAAAAAAAAGAAAAACCAATACTCCCTGAAGGAAGCCCTAACTCCGGCGAGCATCTCTGAAGGCTGGAACCTAGGCTCAGCTGCTTACGCTTGAACTTCCTCCCTCAGTGTCAACCCTAGTTCCAATACTTATCTCAAGCCCAGTTGCCTCTCTTCACCCATCACGCCACCACCATCTGAACACCTCCTCCTGGTACCTGCTGTCTGTTCTCCTCACTGCAGTTCAATGGTTGTCTGGAAGCTGCCGCCCTGACCATCTATCACCTGCTACCTGGGTCTTCCCCCACAAGTTCCAGCCACACTGCTCCACTGACATTTCCAGCACCTTCTTGGCCTCCCGGCCATCACAAAACAGTGTCCTCTCCTGAACCATTCTTCCTACTCATCCGTGAGCTTATCTTTCCAATCTCACTTAAACAGAAAGAGCATCTCCTCCTCTCACGCCATCTCAGTCTAAATGAGTCGCCCTCTGAGAGCACCCTGTACTTTCCCAGAGCATCAAAACTGTTTGTAGTTACTTTGTTTATTGCTTTAGACAGAATTTCACTCTATAGCTCAGGCTGTCCTGGAACTCACTATATCTTGAATTTGCAATGATCCTCCAGCCTCAGCCTCCCAAGAACTAGAATTACAAATACAAGCCACTGTGCCCAGTTTTGTTTGTTTCCAATTATTTTGGCCATTTTTATTTGTTGGTTTGTTTTGGTTTTCAGTAACTTTCTCCTTACCTGAGACAAGGACTGTCTAGTACCAGATTGACTCCCTGTACCTAGCACATAGGCACACATTCCCTAAATTCTACTGAACTCATTAACATTAGGTAGGTATTTATTGAGCACAGCCTAATTCTATGCACTGGAAATTAGAGCATAAAGAAAAAGTCCTCCATGGAGGTGAGTACATTTAGTATTTTCAGACATTAAGAAATAGTAACTATGTCCTATGTTGGATAACACTGATGGTGAGAAGTTCAGGAGACAAAGTGAATGGACGAAGCTGCTGTGAGACACTGTGACGGTAAACATCTGGTGGCAGTTAGCTGAACTCACCTCCCATATAAACCACTTTTTTCCAGTTCTCTGACTCCAGGATCTCATCGTGTGGGTAGCAACTCTGGTCGATCATGAACAGAATCATGAGTGAAGCCATGCAGCAGAGGATAAACGTGTTGCCCTTAGTCAGAAGGCAGGTGGAGGCCAAAACACAGGAAGCGTAGGGGCAGGGTAGACCTTTGTATGCAGAGGGACCTCCTAGGGAAAGATCATGGGGTCAGCAGCTTCCTGGCTCCAAGGGCATCTGTCACTTTGGGGCTCCTCTCCCTGAGCTACCAAATTCCCTTAGCCCAGGGGTAGGGAGGAGGGTGTAGCTCATTTGGTCATTACTAGCAGATGCTGTGCAGGTTTGGCTTTGTGTTGGTTTCTGGGGGACAGCAGGCAATTAGTGTAGACCAGGGGTGCCCACACCTTAAAGAGTCCTTGGAAGCCAGTCTGAGCTCAGTGCTGGGTTTGCACCCCCTTTCTGTGTGGTCTTAGGAAGGCAGCTGCCCTCCCTTTATCCCAGGTTCTCTTGTTTGGGGGAACTGGGGAACCCCATTTCTAGAGTGTGCAAAGCAGTGCTCCATACAAATACAATACAGGACAGAGCCATAGCTGCTCAAGAAGCAAGAGCTCATTTCTCCCAGACCAGGGCTCTGCCAGTACAGCCTCAACTTGCAGTAGGCACGGGGCTCATGAGGAGGAAGAGGGAGTCCATGAGTGGCCGCTGGCTTCTGGTTCCCAACAGTTTCTCCTGCCCCTTGATCCCTGTCACAGTCCTAAGATAGACTGGGGTCCACTCACCAGTTGAATAGAAACACAGGCGGAAAGACGTGGTTAAGACATAGATGACGGCCAGGAACCCATTCAGAGGCCCTTCCACACCGAGCAGCAGAGCCGAAGCCAGGCCAAAGGTGGTGAAGACAGCAAAATCATTCAGCTCAAGTCCTGCTTCAGAGGTCAAGGTTAACTTACGGGCATGTGGTCTACACTCTAGCCTCTCTCAGGTGGCTGGAGCAGTGACAGTTGGGGTGCTGGGGTCTCAGAGGGCAGCAGCTGCTCCCTAAAGATGGCCTGTACATCGAAGTCTGGGTCGTCCCCCCACCCCCAGCTCTGCCTCTGCTGGTCCTCATCACTCAACATGCAAGGCTTAGCACCCAAGTTCACAAGCCTTAGGACCTTTTTCAGGCAAAATCTTACGTGAAAACATTTTGAGGTACTTTGAACCAGCTGCTTTGCCTGGGGGTGTTTCTCATCTTCTCACTGACCCTCACCATCCTCCTCACTTCACTAATAAATCTATAGAGGATATTCTTCACTTAGAATGAAGGTGACCCCAGTGAACACTTGGAAGGCAAGAAAGGATAAACAGCAAAGAAACTGCTTGAGTAACTCAAAGTAAAATCTTACCTCATAAAACTCAAAATAACATAATAATACACTATAAACACAAGACCAAAATCTTCAGCAAAATCACATCAATCAAAAGAAGAGTAAATGGAATTAAAGCAGAGGGTGAGGAAGATAAGGACTAAACCCTACAGTGAGGACGGGGCAAAGATGGGGCAGAGAGCCAACCCAGGAGATGGCTCCTGGCTGCAGACAGCCTGACTCCCGGGGCAGGACTGCTTCCGCTGTTAACAGAGGCATATGAACAATCGGGGGTGACTGAGGAAGGCCTGCCTGATGTAGAGGATGGATGGCAGCCTGAGATGGATGCAGAGTAGGGACTAGAGGGGGGCTGAGGTCCAGACTCACCCAATTTGTGGCAGATGTTGAGGTGTCTGGTCATCGTCCCTATTGCCATGTCTAACAGGAAGCTGATCAGCAGCATCCAAGAAGCACAGTGGGGTTTCCTAGAGTGCAGGCCAGCAGGGTAGCTTCTCGTACCACCCACTCTTGACAAACTCCTACACCCTCACACATAAGCATACCAATGTGCATTCCCTCACTCACATCTCCTCTGGTATACACTGCTGTAAGTGTTTCACACACACCCTCACATAAGGCTCTGTCCCTCCCAAACTCCTAACCATAGTCTTTTTTAATAATTGCTTGTATGATTTTATGTGTCTGACTTGTTATTGCCTGCATATATGTCTGTGCACCACACCAATGCATTGCCCAGGAAGACCAGAAGAGGATGTGGGATCTCATGGGATGAGTTGCAGATGGCTGTGAGCCACACCATGTGGGTGCTGATAATCAAACCCAGGCTCTCTAGAAGAGCAGCCAGTGCTCTTAACCACTGAGCCAGCTTTTCAGCCTCCAAACCATAGTTTAAAGAGGTTCTCTGACACCCCCAACCTCCAGTAATCACCAAGGTCCCTTACAACTCTTTTTTTTTTTTTTTTTGAGGGGGGGAGGATATTTTGAGACAGGGTTTCTCTGTGTAGCCCTGGCTGTCTTGAAACTTTCTCCATAGACCAGGCTGGCCTCAAACTCAGAGATCCGCCTGCCTCTGCCTCCCAAGTGCTGGGATTAAAGGCATGCACCACTACCACCCGGCCCCTTCCAACTCTTAAGCCTCAGTGTATGTGATGGCACAGACTCATTCCTAGTTCCTAGTGCAGCCTCTGCCACTGTCCCACTGTGACTCTTCAGATAAATTACTGTTTGTCTCTCTGTCTCTTTCTCCGCTTGTGAAATGAAGGATTTGTGCTGTGCCTTCCTCTCCTTTCTTCTCTTCCCTCTCTTCTCTCCTTTCCTTTCTTTCATTCTGTGGTGGTTTGAATGAGAATGTCCCCCATAGCTCATATGTTCAAATACATGGTCCCCCAGTTGGTAGAACTGTTTGGGAAGGATTAAGTGTGGCCTTGTTGAAGAAGATGTGTCATGGGGACAGACTTTGAAGTTTCAAAAGACTCCTGCCATTCCCAGTGTCTCTCTCTCTGCCTCTGGCGTTCAGATCAAGATGGGAGTCCTCAGCTATTTCTGACACGTGCCTTTGCTCTGCCATCCTGAACGCTCATCCTAGGAAACTGTAAACCCAACTGAATGCTTTCTTTTATAGTTGCCTTTGTCATGGTGTTTTATCACAGCAATAGGAAAGGTAACTAAGACAACTGTTCTTTAGGAGCCACTGGCCCTATTTTGTGAAACAGGGTTTCTCACTGAGACCTGGGGCTCACTGGTTTGGCAAGGTTGGATGGCCAGTGAGCCCTGTAGACTCTCCTGTCTCCACCTCCCCAGCACCAGGATTCTGAATGCACACCACATGGCCAGCTTTCTTACATGGCAGCTAAGAACTGAACTCAGGCCCTCATGCTTGTGCCACAGCACTATCATCTGAGCCATCTCCCCCAACCCTGGTCTGAAGACTCTTGATCCTCCTGCCTCCACCTCCCAAATTCTGGGATTACAAGCTTATGCCACCATACCTGGCTCAATTCTAACTTGCCTGCAACCTTAACCATCTGGTACTTTTTTCTTTTCTTCTTCAGTACTGGAGACTGAAGCTTGGGCCTCACACATTCTAGGCAAGTGCTCTCCCAGGAGCTATCCTGGGTCAGGATTGTGCATTCTTTCTGTTTCTCAGCTTTAGTTCCATTTGACTAAAATCACCTTCTTTATGACTTCTAGTCTTGTATATGCCTAGAGTGCAGAAGAAATCCTCCAAGAGAGCTTGAGGATACTGTGCATTCTGTGTTCTTGGACAAAGTGTCTACAGGTGTCTGTTACATCCAGACACCAAATGGTGCTGCCAAGGTGAATGTGCTTGCTGATTTTCTGTGGATTAGCAATAGGTGTTGGCATCGCTCACGTGGTATGGGTCAGCCAGTGTCTGCCACAGTTCTCTTGGGTTTGAAGTGTGGCAAGGATCCCTGTGTTTCCCACATTCTCTCACATTTGATGCTGGCTCTACTCTAAGTAATTTCCCAGAGTTCCTCTAGCCCTCACATTCTTCATTTCACCTCATCCATCCTATGCTCCCATATGGTCCCTTTGTGAGCAGCCACACAGTCCAAAGAAAACCTGCCCACAGAGGTCCACTGCCAGCTCTGCACTGGATCACAGTGCTTAGGTGACCCAGCAGAAGCAAAGAGCCTGACCTCAGCCATCCCCAAGCAACTTCAACATTCCTTAGACCACAACTGAGTGTCTAGAGGGGCCAGAGGCTAAATGAAAATAACAGAACTTATAATTGTAACATAAAATTACCCTCTCAGAAGATTTGGTTAAACTGAGTTTTTCCTGCCACAGATGTGCCTCCTCCCACTTTATTAGACTACAAAACTCCAAATTTATGGCTGAAAAACAGATACAGAAAGAAGTCACATGCCAGGCCTGGAGAATCAAGTACATCAGGAGCACACCATAAAGAGTTTTCTTTAAAGAGATGACCTGCCAAAGGCCTCGAAATAGAATCCAACTTACAGGAATATAAATTTCTCCCACTTTCTTGGTGGTACCTAAGTATGACAGAATTTCCAGAACAGTGCTAATGTCAGATGTTCAAATCATATGTTCTGATTCAAGAACCAGAAAATATGAACGAAGCCAAGTGAGGTGGCTTACACCTACAATCCCAGCACTTGGTGGCTCACACCCACAGTCCCCGAGTTGGGAGGTGGAAGCAGAAGGATCAGAAGTTCAAAGCCAGCCTAAGCCACATAGTGAGTTCAAGACTTTCCTGGGCTCTGTGGGGGAGAGGTGGTGGTGGGGTACTATGAATACTACTATGCATTTTTTTCTCCTACTAGCCATTCTGAACTGCTATAGCTGAAGGAATAGGAAAGATTTTAACACAAACTCCTCATACTACAAAAAGAGACGGAGGCTCAGAGATGTGACCTAGCTGAAGTCACTTATCAGACTGATAGCAACATGGAGGCCATCATCCTGACTTTGAAGCCACTATACTGTCCTTGTCCCCAAGTTGATCTTCAGCCACAGTGGCTAGGTCTCTAGTCTGCCTCCCCTTCCTCATGACATAGGCTCCACCTCTGAGCTAAGAGCAGGCTGTGCCCCAGACCTACCTGCTGAAGCTGCAGAAGATGGAAAAGAGCCCCAGGACCATGTTGGCCAGAGACAAGGCATTAATAACATCCTTCCAGGAAAGTTCAGTCATCTGAGAAATGGTCTGCTCATGGCTCAAGATGCGCTGACCTACGGCCCAGAAGAGAGGTGTACAGGGTTCCCAAGGTCAAGGGGGGCCTCCAGAGAGGCTCCCAGAGACCCCATCACAGAACCGAACGCTCTCCACACTCTATCTCACTGACTGAGACTACAAGTTAGTGAAGACACCAGAGTTAAAGACAAGGTTTGGGAAAGCTTAGCAGCGGGGTAGATGAACTCACATTGTCATCCCATCCTCCCTTGCCCTGGCCCCACAGCACAGACATCCTCCCAGGAGCCTTTTGACACCTCAAAGGCATCCATCTGAGAGACAGAGCCTTGTCATAGATTAATGGTTGACTTGAGAGAGGCTATGCTCACTCCCTCAGAGATCTCAGGGCACACCACAACACTGGTCCTATCTCCAACAGAGAAGGAAATCAACTTCACAGAATGGATGTGGACAGCATTCGGTGGCTCCCCAGCACCTTCCACTGTGTTCTTTCCTCTGGTCTGGGCCAGCTTAAAGGGTATACTCTTTCTTCCCCTAGTTTATAAATGAGGAAACAACTTCAGCAAACTGGAGACATCTGCTCAAAGTCACACAGTGAATGAAAGCAAACCCTGATGCTTGGTCCTCAATCTGCTGCTGCTTCTGACCCCAGCAGTGGGTAGTTTGGAGGCTAGGACTAAGGAGTTCACTGGGATAGCCTTACCATAGCCTCTGCATGCCAGGACAGGCCACATCCAGGCCTTTGACCACCCATGACATCTCTTACAGCAGCAGGGAACCAGCTGGCTTATCCATCTTCACAAACAGTCTTGACTCTGTTTTTACACCATGTCCAAACAAATATGCTCCTTACACATCAACTGCTTGTGTCCTCTCTGAGACAGACAAGCCCCACTGATGGGATAACACATCAGCCACACAAAGCAGCCCTACCCTTGAGTGGTATGAGGAGATTCTCGTTCGTATATCCACTTTCTCTTTAATCCTTCACTCATTTCGAGGCTTGGCCTTGGCCCCCAAGCAGGCTCTCTGGACAGTTCCAGCCCTTAAGGTCTGAGCAAGAATTGAGACAAGGCCAGATGTGGTGGCACACCTTTAATCTTAGCACCTGAGGCAGAGGCAGGGGGATCTCTGTGAGTTCAAGGCCAGCCTAGTCTACATTGTAAATATTCAAGAAGATAAAGCTACATAGTGAGCCCCTGCCTCAAAAAAAAACCTTAAAATTAAAAATTAAAAAGGGATTGAGACAAACTATGCTCGCTTTAAAACAAAACAAAATAAAACCTGCCACCAAGATATCCAAGGCAGGGAGGGGCTGCTGGACTTGGGGCTGGAACTGGAATATTCCAAGACATCACTGAAGGGTGGTTCCCATAGGCAGCCTCAGTCACCAAAAGAATCAACAGCTGTGTGACCAAAGCCATCAGGATTAACACCTAAGATAGGAAATGACGTAAGCCCGGGAAAGCTGGGAATGAAGGGAGAAGATTTTGGCTGCACCATCCCATTCGATGAATCTGCACAGCCATCTCTCCTGATTTAAGGCCAACCCCAACAGGACTATATACCTCAGTTCCTGAGCCAGGCACCTGTTCACCTGCCAGCCCACCTACCATCTCCTTGAATAGCACCCCTGTGTCTCTGCCTCTCTGAGCAGATGCCCAGTCTTCCAGCAACCAGACATTGCCTCACTTGTACTACTTCATAGATGTTTTAGTCTTAATTGATGATTAGCCTTCTGCTACACTGTCTACCCTGTTCACAAAGCACTGGACACCCGGGATTCCCACTGGCTCTGGGAGCTCAATGAAACAAGGGTTGTCATCCCTGCTTATATATCCCAAGTAAGGCAAACACAGCAGAGAGGGGAAAGCCTTGGGAGAGGTCACTCTGAAGTTACAGGATGAGATGCAGCTCTGTCTTGAGTGTTTTTTCCTCTGTACTCTGCCATCTACCAGGAAACAGGACAGACTGTTTCTCAGGCTCTATGCTTAGTGTAGGCTAAGAGAACCCCTGAGTCATTACCTTCAAAGAACATACAGCCAGTCTATCTGTCTAGAGCAGTGGTTCTCAATATGTGGGTCATGACCCCTGTAAGGGGGTGAACAACCCTTTCACAGGGATTGCATATCAGATATTTAGATTACAGTTCATAACAGTTGCAAAATCACAGTATGAAGTAGCAATGAGAATAATTTTATAGTTGGGGTCACCACAACATGAAGAACTGTATTAATGGGTTGTAGCATTAGGAAGGTTGAGAACCACTGGTCTAGAGAAACGAGACACAAGCATAGATCTTACAAGATGGGAAAGCACGACATCCAAATAGGAAAGGGCTTGTCTCAGGAAATGGTGGAACCAGGACTTGAACTGAGTCTCTTCTTTCTTATTTAAATACTATTTGTAAAATCATACACATCTCCCAGCAGCAAAAGGATGGGGATTTGAGAAGGGCTGTTTAAGTCCACAAAAATAGAGAGCAGTCTACTCACTCCTACAGCAGGATACTTGTTTAGGAGCAAATCTGATGCTTGGTGCTGTGGACACAAAGATGACTGGGAATTCTCTCTCAAGGACAGTCAAGCAGAGGATGCAACCCAGCATGGAAGAGACATTAGCACAGACAGGGGCTGGCCTGCCCGGGGGAGGTTTTCAGAGGAGGGCTGGAGCTGACGCTGGCTTGTGCTCCAAGCAGATTGGGTCACATGCCAGCGTCTGGAATCCCTCTGTGGAGCCCAGCCCCACACCAGCCCTGCTTAGCTCTTCAGCTCCCCTTCTCCAGGCCCGCTGAAAGCCCTCTCTGGGGTCCTTCCTTAGGTCTTAGGCTAGCCCTCCTTGAGGAGTTCCTGACACCCCCCGAGCTGTAAGTGCTCGTCTTGGAAGGCTTCTTGTGCTCACCGTGTGTCACCTGGCATTCTTTACTGGCTTCGCCTACCTTGTCTTCCTTTTTTCTTACAGGGGACGCAACTTGAATGCAGACAGGGTTCCCCTGTGTCAAGCATGAGGCCTGACAATAAAAGTGCTCAATGTTAGTTAATATAATACACCACTTAGGTCCTCTCGCTAGACTTCATTTTTGATGAAGCTCCCACAGCCCCTTCAGCCCAATCCTTATTGTTTACTCATTTTCACTCTCTCCAATGCTTCCCTGTGCCACGCTTTGTGTATTTGGTAAATAAAACAAGACCCATGTGCCACCCTCGGAAGATACGGTCTCGATGGACTGTTCAGGAGCTTGAAGAGACACGTGTTATGTGTAACTAGGGCATGTTCCAGTTGCCCTGGGTATACCAGGATGCAAAGACCAAGTCTGGGGCAAGGGCAAGGGCCAGGGAGGATTTCACCAACATAGTGATATTTACCAGGATCTCTAAGGATGGGGGGAGGGGAGTGGTAGCCAAAGAGAATTAAAAATACGAGGTCCTGGCTCCCGAAAGCCGGGTGACTGGAGATCAAGTCCGTGAGGTCTGAGATGGGGCTCACCCAGAGGTGACTGTGGGCCAGCCCTGTGATGTTTGGGAACGAAATTGAAGAGGGGGTGGGAAGAAATTGAGGAACAGAAATTGATAGTGAGTGTAAGAACCACCCGCAGCAGCACCGGAATCGCAGAGCTCACATGACTGGGTTTCTAGAAAGAGGAATGAATGACGAAGAGGGTTCCCTCACCAGGCGCCGCCGTGAGTGGCGGGTGAGGGTGAAGGTGTGCTCTCCAGCAGTGATGTCTTTTGTCGTTCCTCATCACGCACACTGCCACCCTTTCCCTGGAGGCCAGAGGCCATCTCCTGCAGAGACCTGGTCTCTTGAGAACAGGTCACAACACTGGTCTCTCGCCAGCCTCCCGCGCGGGTTGTCCGGGTAACCCGGTTAAACCCAATTCTGTCGGATGACGAAGGGCTGACTGGCCTGATGTCCCTGTCCCTCTTTCTTGCCCCACCTGCTCCATGTCAGTGGGGAATGCTCACCTGGAGATCAGACATTCCTAGATGGGGCTGGGGCCCCCTCTGCACTCTTTCCTGCTGATGTTGAGGTGGAGGGCCCAGCCCAGGAGAGGGTGCATGGATGCGGGTCCAGCCTTTTAGCCTGGCTCTTAGCTCACAATCCCGAAGGCAGGGGAGGGGCTAAGGAGCCTTTGGACAGAGGCACGGGGCCTCGATTTACAGATCTCACAGTGGGCGGCGAGGGGCGGGGCATTGTGGACTCTCAAAGGAGGTACCTGCTTTCTTCTTCCCCTTGAACCTGGATGGAGGCATTATTCACGGAGGGTTTCTGTGAGGTGCAGAGACCCCGCTGCTGAGTGCCTGGGGTTGGAGGTGGGCTGGGAGTGAGTTGAAGACTGTAAAAAGCAGGCTGGGGTCCACATCATGAAGAGCCCCTTGACTGTCAGCTCCAAGCAAGTATGGCCTTTTATAGGACTGGTTCTTTGTACCTACAAGGAGGTGTAGACATACAATAGCATTTCTAAGGGGGATGAGGACCTGAGGAACTGGGACCCAAAAATGAAGACAATGTGTTTAGGTCAGGTTCTCTCAGAAAGATGGTTCTGGCAGTCACTGTAAAGAAACGAGGTAGTAAGACCGAGGCTATGCCAGGGAATGGGGAGGCAGCCAGTGTGAGAGGAATTTTAAGAGTGTGAGGGAGGCCCTAGGCAAGGACAAAAGCTTTCCAGACAGGTTCTGGATTCAGCAGTTAGACGGATAGTATGCCACAGAAAGAAACTTTTTCCCCCCTGGGACAGGGTTTCTCTGTGTAGCCCCAGCTGTCCTAAAACTCACTCTGTAGACCAGGCTGGCCTCTAACTCAGGGATCTGCCTGTCTCTGTCCCCCAAGTGCTGGGATTAAAGGCGTGAGTCATCACACCCCCACCACAGGCACCAGTAAACCCTTCTTTGTCTCATTTTTTTTTTTTTTTTTTTTTTTTTTGGTTTTTCAAGACAGGGTTTCTCTGTGTAGCTTTGCGCCTTTCCTGGGACTCACTTGGTAGCCCAGGCTGGCCTCGAACTCACAGAGATCCGCCTGGCTCTGCCTCCCAAGTGCTGGGATTAAAGGCGTGCGCCACCACCGCCTGGCCTTTGTTTCATTTTTAAGACACTGTCTCACACTGTAGACAAGGCTAACCTGAAACTATGTAGCTGAGGCTAGCCTTGTACTCATATGATCCTCCTGCCTGTCCCCAAGTCCTGAGATTACAGGTGAGACACCCAGACTTGGAAAGAAACAGTGCTGGATAATATTCCAAGGCAGGGTCTGGCCTTACCTGTCCCACATCCACACCACACTAAGGCTAAACTACAGAAGCAAGAGCGTCCAGGCCCAGACAATAGGTAATGAAAGGGTGGGGCAAAGAGGCCATGTGACACCACAATCAGCAAGGGAGACAGGGTCTCACTGAGCCCAGAGGCCATCTGGCAGACACTGGGCTGGAGGGTGTGAACAGTGTTTCCCTGGGTCTTGGACTGGCTCTGACACTATCTCGTTCTACTCAAGGAAATGGTGGCTCAAATAGTTCATTTACTGTCAACTCCACCATTAGTCATCAGTGGACTTGGGTTGGGGATTCGGCCTTATTATAAGCACTTGCTCAGTGTGTTCAAAGGCCCTAGACTTAGTCCCTAGCACCTAACATTATAATAAGAACTTGTAGAGCTGAGACCTGAAAAGAATCTGACACTGAAGTCAGACCTGGGTGTTTGAAAACTAAAAGAACAGACAAGTGCAGTCAATGCCACTGCCTCTGTGGAGGGTCACACAGAGCCTTGGGATGTTTTGAAACAGATGTTGGGATGACAGCTAGTGCTAAATGATGGCAGTCTCTGTGGAGACACTCAAGGGTGGGGAAGGAAGCAAGGAGGCCCACCAGGAAAGTACTGCCTTAGTTAGGCTAGAGAGGTAGGTGGCTCGGACCAAGAGAAAAGGGTGAAATGATAAGAGGGGGTCGGATGTGGGGTTGTATTTTGAAAGCAGAGTTGACTGGCATGGGGAGAGCAAATGGAATAAAGGAAAGCTTAGCTTTTTTGAACTAAGTAACAATGTGAGATAGGTGGCCATGGGAATGCAGAGGATGTGAAAGGCTTGGGGGTAAATTCAGAGTCAGCGTGGACACATTAAGTTGTAATGACTGAGTCAAGTAGAGATGTCAAGTACAGAAGCAGGACAAATGCATATGAACAGAGTACAGATCAGAGCTAGGAACATGTAGGAGTTGGCAGCCTAAAGGTGATATCAGGCCCTGGGAATGGGTTAGAGCATGAAGGAGGGAGGCAGTGCCAAGAACCTGACCCCAGAGGTCTGGATTACAAAAAAGTGAAGTAGAAGGGAGCAAGATAAAACAATATTCTAAATCAAGATGAGGACACTTTCAAGTAGTGAGCGATTCCACTGAATCAAATCTGCTTACAACTGTACAAGTCCAGTTTCTCCGGGTACTCCAAGCACCAGCTCCTTAAGAAACAAACCTTACCTGTTTGCACATGGGTTTTAATGCCAGAGATATGTGGTCAGTTGCAACTCCCACAGTAGCTCACATTCTCATCTTGCTTTTATTTGATTTTGGAGGCTGAATGTGTGTATACATTCTCAGAAAGGCGGTCCACCTTGTTGCTGCTGTTTTTTGAGAGAGGGTGCTGGGGCTCACCAACTAGGCTAGACTGGCCAGTGAACTCCATCTTGCTAGCACTGAGATTACAAGCATGTACGTCCATGCCTAGATTTTTTAAATTTAGTTTTATATTCATTGGTGTTTTGTCTGCATGTGTATCTGTGTGAGGGTGTCGGATGCCCTGGAACTAGAGTTACAGACAGGTGTGAGCTGCCATGTGGGTGCTGGAAACTGAACCCAGGTCCTCTGGAAGAGCAGCCAGTGCTCTTAACCACCAAGTCATCTCTCCAGCCCCCATGCCCAGATTTTTTTAATGTGGATGCTGAGGATCAAACTCAGGTCCTGTTTATGCAGCAAGTATTTTACTGCCTATCCCCTAAGCTCCCCACTCCTTTTTTTTTTTTTTTAACTTTTTCCAAAGCGTCTCCCTTGTTGTCATGCAAACTAGTCTGAAACTGGCATCCAGACCCCTGCCTCAGTCTTCCAGGTGCTGAGAGTACAGGTGTGTACTAGAGACATGCATGCACCCCACAGTGGCCACACTCATTTTGTATGTCACCTCTACAGAGCTCTAGAACTACCTGCTAAAACATGACTGAGGTAAACATGACCTAGGTGGATATGACTGTGGTTACAGCTAGACTCAAAACAAACACAGCTTTGATTAAACCTGACCTTACCTCTGCTATCTGGATAGCCATTGGCTACATTCTGAACTGGAAATGTTCCTGCTGAGATCTCATGGGTGTTGGGCCACATGAAGATTAAGTCAGATAAAGGGAACATATCTGATAGAATTAAAGTTCCCTAGACAGCATTCTCTCTTTATCTACGACTAATACCATCCATGTTTGGGGACCAACTAATAATTTGAGAAGGTAAGTACACAAGTAAGGTCTCCTTCCAGACCCCTGAGGTGGACAGGGAGCTCAGTCAGTGGTTACACCCAGTGAGCCTGGGCAGCCAGCAAGGTAGATTCAAATATAGATCACTAATTATGCTAGAAGATATTGCAATGTCTGTAACAGGGCCCCAGACCTCAGCACAGCTGACTCGATGGGGAAGTACCATTCAGGCTGTAAAACTCAGCACCACCTGCCAAGATGAAAACATAGACCTAATCCATCCAAGTCCACAGTTCTGGGAAAGTCTCTAAATGCACTAACTTTGCTTTTTTGGCTTCTGTAGTTCTGCTTCTGGCTAAATATTCTTGTTAACTGAAGTAGGTCAACACAGGACATGGTTTCTGTGCTTAAAAGCTCACCCTGAGAAAGGCTAGGGGCTACACTGGGATCCTGAACACCCAGTGTAGTCACTGGCTGGCTAATAAAGACTCTATTGGCTCAAACCCATGTCTGAGCAGTCTCTCTGGTAAATACTCCACAACAATATCTTTCTCTTCCATATTTTGTTGAGTGAATCAACACACTTGAGCCAGAAATTAAAGAACTGCCTGAAATTCTTTCCTCTTATTCTTGTCCTCAAATGTATTAGCTAACAAGATAGTAGTTTATCACACTTCAAAATGCTAGGCATCATCGAGTCAGATGGTGCTCACTGTAAGTCACACCACTGTTATGTAGCTCTAAGGGGGAGAAGTCCATACCAAACAGGACTGGAGAGATGGCTCAGTGCTGACCTTGCAGAGAAGAGTCTGACATCTCTAGCCTCTATGGGCACCTACACATGTGCACATATCCCCTGGCCCCCAAGAAAACGAAGTGACAGGCCACTGACTTTCAGAAGCACTCAACTTCCCGATATAGTAACACAGAGGAGTTCCACTGTACACTGACACAATCCGGCACCTCACACCCCAATGCTGCTAGCTCAGTCCAGATCCTTGCCTCCTGCTGGATGAGGAATGGAAGCTCTTCACACCCTTCCCTCCGTCCAGCCTCTGCTTCTCAAAGTCCAGTAGTGCAGACCTTAGTCCCTCTCCCATCGCCCTGCCAGCGTTCCCTTCAGCTGTACTTACACGGGGTCAGGTTGCTATCAACACCCTCGTGTTATTTTTGTCAATTGCTTTTCTCTTCCTCTTTCATTGACCTCTTCAGTTTAGAATGTTCTAGCCAGAACAGTCTTACCACACTTCTTGTAAAGACCAGGGTTACTTTGGTTGATGAGGTTAAGAGCATATCCAATAAATTCCACCTAAAAAGAGCTCTCCCTAGGCCCCGAAAGACAAGCCTCCTATACACAGGAAATCTTCCCTTCAAAGTCTTCCCGTATTCGACAATGTCCTTCGCACACCTCCACTAAGTCCTTCTACCACGCTATAACTGTTAACCTCCTTGTTCCCCTAGCAGACTGTGTGTCTCTTTGAAACAGGGCCCTGTCTTGAGATCATCCTCTAGACATGGAAATGAGAAGGCACTTATTGCTTAGGAAATTGCCAGGACAGAGGGATGAGTGCTGACGAACTGCAGTTGCTACATATATTTATTGGGTCTTAATCCCCCATTCTGAGTTGTGTATCCAGAACCACCAGGCAGGCACTCATTACCAAGAGCCATCCCTCAGCCAGGCAATCAGATTACCCAGGAAAGAGCACTGGCACTACCTGGTGGCCAGAGCTGGAAGTACATCTTCTTGAACAGGAAGTTCCTCTTTGGAAACCATTGCTCTCCAGGCACAGCTCACCATTGGAAATGTCAAAAGTGAGAGAAATCTACATTTCTTAACCTCTTAAATCTCTTAACCTCATCAACCAAAGTAACCCTGGTCTTTACAAGAAGTGTGGTAAGACTGTTCTGGGATGTAGCCAGAAGGTTATTTTGCCAATGGTGAATGTCAAGTCCATATCTGTGGTATCAACACCATCCAATCACAATCACCTTTTGCCTTTTACTCAAAATTGGTTACACTTTCTGTCTCAGAACTGATCTTTACGCTCTTGTGTAAAATTTTCCCTTAAATGTGGACTGGCCTAGAGACTGGCTTCTAAAGAGGATACAGCAAAGATGATGTCATTTCTGTGGTGGGGCTACATAGGTTGAACTTCCATTTGCTCATGAGCTCCCATCCTTTCTCTCTGATGCGGAGCATTCCTGCATTTGCAGGGACTCCTGGGGTAAGAAGCTGAGGGTGACCTCTGCCTAATCATCAGCAGGTAGTCTGGCAATCTCCAAGGAACCAAAATTCTGCCAAAATCAAGTGAGCTTGGAAGCAGATAGGAAGGCCCCCGAGAACCCAGCCCCAGCCAAAACCCTGACTGCAGCCTTTCAGTACCAAAGAAATCCTGAGGCTGAAGACCCAGTGAGACCATGAAAGGATGAGTGTCACTTGAAATCACTAACCCTGTGGCAATTTGTTACCTTCCTACTCACTATGCACTACTCAAAATCCCTCACTACCACACAGGTCAGAACCTCTTGAAGATCTGGGCAATGTTCTGGAGTCAGGATCAACTAATACCCCAGTAACGTCTGTCTTCCAGCTCTGCAGCTTCCTATCGAGGGGCTTTCTGCAGCTCACACAAGACATTTCTGTTGGAACTGAATGACCAAGTATTGGCCATGTTCCTTGTCAGATCTCAGTTTCTTCTTGTGCTAAGCACGGACCGTTTCTAGGTACAGGGTGCACTGTTCATAAGGGAGGCCATGAACACCAGGACACAGTGCATACCCAAAGTTGGGTTGTGGTCTCAAATACATATTCCTTATGTTCTTTAGCACACATTACAATAGACTACACGGCACCAAAGCAGTCACTCTGAATATGCTATAAATTTAACTAACTCAGCCAATCAAATAAGAAATGAAGGAGTCCAAAAATGCTCACTCAAAGTCATGAGAGTTTTGGCCACAAAAGGCCCTGTTCAGTACTGCTTGTCTGCAGCAGTGGAGATGGAACCAGAGCCTCATGCATGCTCTGTAAATACTGCCACGCATGCCGTGTAAACACACTAACACTGAGCTACATCCCTGGTCTCTCTTCAGTTCATGACTTACTCAGTAAGCAATAAAAGGAGTTTCAATCAGAGCTAATGTGTTATGTGTGATAGCTCAGCTCAACTAGGGATCCTGAGGCAGGATTATCACATTGACTAAGGCCAGCCTGTGCTAGTCAGTTGCGAGCTAACCTGAGCTACAGAGATCCCATAAATAAACAATCCCAGTCAACTCATAGCCTGTGGACAGGCTGGTCACTTTTCCTGGTGTGCATCCGCACTGCTCTACTCTCTTCCACACTGTCTCTTTCTGACAAGACTTTTAAATGTATGTATGTGTCTATCTAGGTGTGCATGGCTCATGGAAATCAGAAGTGTGTGACATCTCTGGAGCTGGCGTTACAGGTGGTTGTGAGCTGCCTAACATGGGTGCTAGGAATGGAACTCAAGCCCTCTGGCGGAGCAGCAAGCACCCTCAACTGCTGACCCTCTCTCCAGCCCTTCGGCGCTGTGTCTTTAAAATGCCATGTTTTGGGTCTGTCCTGCTGTGGTGCTGAGCTCAGGCTGTCCTAAGGAGGCTTCAGAGTGGACTCATCCAATAGCAGCAGCCTTCTATACCTCTTCCAGTTCTCCACTTCTGCAAGGGTTAGGATGGCTGCCCAAACACGCCCGACTTTGGCTGCCGCCTCAGTCTCCAGTCACTCTTACTAGGCAGGAAGGGCAGAAGGGCAAACCAGAAGGACACTCTCAGGAGTAAAACTCTACAATCAACACTCTCATCCAGCCATGCCAAGCTTTTGTCTGTTGTTTCTTTTAATCCTCTGCAGGCAACACTGGAATTCCTGAATCAACCTCAAATTGGCACAGCACCTATGAAGACCGCTTCAACACCAATCTGACACGAGACAGGA